TGATATAGAAATTCTAGATAGCATGAACGAATACTTGAATAAGAGTTTTTCAAAGCAAGACCTCGGTGAAGCTGCTTACACATTGAGCATCAAGATCTATATAGATAGATCAAGACGCTTGATAAAATTTTTCAATGAGTACATATTTTGATAAAATTTTGAAATAGTTCAAAATGTAACAGTCAAAGAAGGAGTTCTTGCCTGTGATGCAAAGGTGTGAAGTTGACTAAGACTAAAGACCCGACCATGGCAGAAAATAGAAAGAGAATGAAAAGTCATTCCCTATGCCTCAGTCATAGGTTCTATAAAGTATGCTATGCTGTGAACCAGACCTATTGTATACCTTGCTCTGAGTTTGACAAAGGAATACAATTTTGATCTAAGAGTAGATCACTGGTCAGCGGTCAAGAATATCCTTAGTGAGGACTAAGGAGATGTTTCTCGATTATGGAGGTGATAAAAGAGCCCGTCGTAAAAAGTTACAACGATGCAATCTTTTACACCAATCTAGATGACTCTAAGTCTCAATCTGGATACATATTGAAAGTGGGAGCAATTAGCTAGAGTAGCTCCGTGCGGAGCATTGTGGACATAGAATATTTGCAAAATACATACGGCTCTGAATATGACAGACCCGTTGACTAAACTTCTCTCACAAGCAAAACATGATCATACCTTAGTACTCTTTGGGTGTTAATCACATAGTGATGTGAACTAGATTATTGACTCTAGTAAACCTTTTGGGTGTTGATCACATGACGATGTGAACTATGGGGTTAATCATATACAAATATGAATATTGGTGTTAAATCACATGACGATGTGAACTAGATTATTGACTCTAGTGCAAGTGGGAGACTGAAGGAAATATGCCCTAGAGGCAATAATAAAGTTATTATTTATTTCCTTATTTCATGATAACTGTTTATTATTCATGCTAGAATTGTATTAACCGGAAACATAATACATGTGTGAATACATAGACAAACATAGTGTCACTAGTATGCCTCTACTTGACTAGCTCGTTAATCAAAGATGGTTAAGTTTCCTAACCATAGACATGAGTTATCATTTGATTAACGGGATCACATCATTAGAAGAATGATGTGATTGACTTGACCCATTCTGTTAGCTTAGCACTTGATCATTTAGTATGTTGCTATTGCTTTCTTCATGACTTATACATGTTCCTACAACTATGAGATTATGCAACTCCCGTTTACCGGAGGAACACTTTGTGTGCTACCAAACGTCACAACGTAACTGGGTGATTATAAAGGAGCTCTACAGGTGTCTCCGAAGGTACATGTTGGGTTGGCGTATTTTGAGATTAGGATTTGTCACTCCGATTGTCGGAGAGGTATCTGGGCCCTCTCCGTAATGCACATCACTATAAAGCCTTGCAAGCAATGTGACTAATGAGTTAGTTGCAGGATGATGCATTACGTAAAGAGTAAAGAGACTTGCCGGTAACGAGATTGAACTAGGTATTGAGATACCGACGATCGAATCTCGGGCAAGTAACATACCGATGACAAAGGGAACAACGTATGTTGTTATGCGGTTTGACCGATAAAGATCTTCGTAGAATATGTAGGAGCCAATATGAGCATCCAGGTTCCGCTATTGGTTATTGACCGGAAACGTGTCTCGGTCATGTCTACATTGTTCTCGAACCCGTAGGGTCCGCACGCTTAAGGTTTCGATGACAGTTATATTATGAGTTTATGAGTTTTGATGTACCGAAGGAGTTCGAAGTCCCGGATGAGATCGGGGACATGACGAGGAGTCTCGAAATGGCCGAAACGTAAAGATCGATATATTGGACGACTATATTCGGAGTTCGGAAAGGTTCCAAGTGATTCGGGTATTTTTCAAAGTACCAGAGAGTTACGGGAATACGGGGAAGAGTATTGGGCCTTAATGGGCCTTAGTGGGAAGGAGCCAGGAGGTGGCGTGCGCCCCTCCCAAGCCCAGTCCGAATTGGACAAAGGGTTTGGGGCGCGGCCCCCCTCTCCCTTCCTTCTCCACTCCCCTCCTTTCCCCCCTTCTCCTAGTTGGACTAGGAAAGAAGGAAACCTACTCCTACTAGGAGTAGGAATCCTACTCCCTTGGCGCGCCCCTCCTAGGGCCGGCCTCCTCCTCCCTTGCTCCTTTATATATGGGGGCAGGGGGCACCCCAAAGGAACAACAATTGATCCCTTGGATCTCTTAGCCGTGTGCGGTGCCCCCCTCCACCATAGTCCACCTCGATAATATCGTAGCGGTGCTTAGGCGAAGCCCTGCGACGGTAGAACATCAAGATCATCACCACACCGTCGTGCTGACGGAACTCTCCCTCGACACTCGGCTGGATCGGAGTTCGAGGGACGTCATCGAGCTGAACGTGTGCTAGAACTCGGAGGTGCCGTAGTTTCGGTGCTTGATCGGTCGGGTCGTGAAGACGTACGACTACATCAACCGTGTTGTTCTAACGCTTCCGCTTTCGGTCTACGAGGATACGTGGACACACTCTCCCCTCTCATTGCTATGCATCACCATGATCTTGCGTGTGCGTAGGAAAATTTTCGAAATTACTGCGTTCCCCAACAATCTCCCCTCTCGCCGCCGTCGGATGAGTCCACCGGGCGAAGCCCGCGCTGCAGGACGGTGGCGGCAGGGATCTCCGCGCGCTCGGCGACCTCGGTTGCCGGCGTGAGCCCGTGGTGGTGGGAGACTCGTCCTCGGCGTCTCCGGTCAGCGTGGCGGCTGCCCGGTGCGGCGTCCTCGTCCTCTCGCAGGTGATGGGCTGTCGGCTACTCATGGCTGCCTCGACGCGACGGCGTCCCGAGGTTCCAGATATGGCCGTGGCGGGCTCGGCCGATCTGGCCCGTTAGCTTCGGCCGGTGGTGAGGTTGGTGGTCGTGCATGGTGATGGCGCCGCCGCCGCGCAGGAGGTGCTTGGGCCAGTGGGTTCGCATGCTGGCGGCGCTGGGGTTCCCCCATCCTCGTCCGGCAACGTGAGGGTGCGGAGGTAGAGTTGCTCCGGGCAAAAGCTGACGGCGCGGTGTCTGCGGATGTCGCTCTCCTCCTGAGGGGCCGTTGTGGAGCTCTCCGACCTCCTCCGCTCTCGAGTCACTTTCTTCGGGTGAAAGCCGAGGACCTGCGGTGCAGGACCAGACGATGGCGTGATACGTCGCTTCCCCTCCTGAGGGTGTCGTCTTGAAGATCGTGATTCCCTCCGTGCTTTCTCGGAGCTAGACTTGCACGACATCGTGGCAGGAGGCCGGCGATGGGCCCAGAGGTGGAGCGGTGTTTCCTCCTCCGCATCAAAGACGGTGGATCTCGGCGGCATGGCGCAACGGAGACTCGACGCCCGATGCGTGTAGATGGACCCGCGCAGGAGGAGGTGGCTGTCTGGCGTCATGGTGGCGTCGATGGCAGAGTGGCCTGACAAGGTAGAAGCCTCAATATTTGCTCTAAGACGGACCTATGGAAGATGGCGGCAACGACACATGTGAGTGCGTCAGACCGGCTTGTGCCCTAGACCCGGTATGTGGCTCGACTGTGGCTTTCGGCTTTTGATGATAGGTTTAGGTGTGTGGTCTGGGTATTTGGCCCAGCTAGCATCCCTTCATTAGATGGATAGGAGTAGTGGCACATGTTGCCAAGATGGCGGATTCAGGCATATTGTTGTAATACTTTGTAAGGTCCTCGAGAATAATCAATAAAGTGGCCGCATGCATCTCCCAGATGTAGAGGCCGGGGATCATCCTTTTTTTAAAAAGGATTTGCTAGAGATGTTTTTAGAGCATCTACAACATATTTGCCTAATATGAGGCCCTATACGCTCCGTGTAGGCGTTCGCAACGGGAGGATCGGCTCCATCGTCCGTGCTGGTGGTGCCGCTCTTCGACGCCGAAGAGATGTAGCCCGCGGATGGCGCGAGCATGCTCCTTCAACGTGGTGTGTTGCCTTGACCTTCACAAACTCTTTCTCCCTCGTGAGGCACTCTTAAGCTTCGGTCCCAATCCGGAGTGCCTTTGCATTTTTGCATTGGAGGCACCTAGCGTTCATCTTCGCCGTGGTCAATGAATGGCGCATGACCTCGTGCAGGAGGTGATCCTCAGGGTCAATGGGGGCGCGTTGGCGGAAGAACCGGCCTCCAGTACGGCCCATTGCCGCTCGCGGCGGCCGACCTTGGCCTTTGACTTTGGCATCTACATCCCCATGGGAGCTGTGGGCACAAGCACCCAATGTTACCCGGGAGGAGTTGGCACTCACCCTGGAGTGGGAGGGAGAGGGCCGCCCTGATTCGGATCTAGAGCGGTGCTGAGCGGGACAGGCGAGCCCGTTGGAGCGCATTGGCGCGGCGGGGCCGGGAGGAGCTGGCAGCGAACGTCGCAGAGCTCGAGCTCCCACCGATGTACAGCCACAACCACTAGATGGCGATGCCAAGCGTGAGCTCCTCGTCGTCCATTGCGTTGTTGCCGAAGCCGAAGTTCCTTCTCCTTCACGAGGCCATCCTAGTCCATGGGATCGGTCTCGTGGCTGGACCTGGCCATGGCGAAGGGGACGGGAGAGATTGGGAGAGGAAGGGGAGAAGACGGGAGGGGAGGGGATAGGGCGAGAGGACCAATGGTTTGACTAAGGTTCGTCGGACCGGGTGGGATTTTTGCGTGCACTTGTGGGGCGGCACATGCCGTATATAGCTTGTATGTTCGACGTGGCGGCGGTGTCCGGTTGTAGATGCTCTTACATCATGGGACCGGTCTGGATGCGACGCCAGTCGGTCACCCCTTTTCAACTTTTTTTTTGTAGAGAAGACATTTGATATTCAACTTTTTTTTTCAGACACTAGCACAAATAGTACTAGTGGCCCAACAATAGCCCATTAAGGCCTTAAACCCTAACGCGAAACCTTTCACTGCCTCTCTCCCGTGCTCCGCGTCCCCACCACACAAGAGAACCACCAGAGCACCTCGCCGCCGCCGCCGCCGCCGAGGACGACGACGACGACGATGTGGCGTTCGCGAGCTCGCGCTCTCCTCCTGCCCCGCTCGTCCGCCCCCAGTTCGGCACCGCCGCAGCAAAATCCACTCCGGAGCTTGGCCCGAGCCCCGCCCCCGCCGCCACGCCTTCTCTCCCGCTTCCTCTCCTCCTCCTCCTCCTCCCAGAAGGCCCCGCCGGCCGCCTCCCCTCCCTCCTCCTCCTCGCCCGGCGCCGCGCCCGGATCCGCTGCACCGCCGGCCTACACCGGAAACCTGAAGGTGAGTCACGTCTCTCTTTCGAGGCACCGATCTTCCTAATTAATCATTAGCTTTGATTGGGGCCTGCTGCGTACGTGCAAATCAAATCAAACATTCAATGTTGGCTCCTGTGAACGATTAGTAGAAGACTTATTCATTATCTCGGTTGCTAGCATTGATCCAGGGCAAATCATGCCCTGGCAGTGGCAAGCCAACTGCTATCCAGACTAATCTGATACAGTACTTAATTTTCTTGAGTGTTTTTATTATCCCATTGTGTTATTGTTTACATTACATTTTGCAAGCAAAGTCACGAGCACGTGGATAATTATGTACATATTACAAAATGGCTCAACAAGATAAGGAGGTACAGGGAAAACGGAATATAACAACAACCAGTGCATTTCTTGTCACTAGCGGCATCTTTATCATGCGCGGCGGAGCAATCAGGCTGTCTGTCTTTAACTATCAAAGCTCAACGAACAAGGTTAAGCATAATACTGGCCGTGCACTATCGTGCTAATTAATTGTGTTACTAGGTCAATTCATCTCTCAGTAATTCTGGATTTGAACACGAGTCTTTTTAACCACTAATCAATTGTAAGATTGATAACCTCTCAATGTTTGATTATATATCATGTTTTTCTTCAGCTCGACTTTAGCTGTAGAAAGCAAATTTCTTTACGCAGATCTGACCAAATTCACAACTTAAATCATATTGTTCTTCAGCTCAACTTGAGTTGTAGAAAGGAAATTTCTTTACACAAACACTGACCAAATTCACAACTTAAATCTATGAGAGAACAAATACTAAACTGCAAAATTGCGAGACAACCAGACCTGTCCCTTGTTGATGTTGGCGTCGTAGTCCTCATGTACCGTTGCCTCTGCTTCAACCGGGAGGTGGGTACTCTTGACACCATCCAGCCCTCCCCACACCCACAATCAAATGTTCCCGCTGAGGGGGTAATCTGTAGAAACATTAACAGGGTTTCTCTGTCATGCCTGCTACATGACCAATAACAAGCAGTCACTAACATTAACACAGCAACATGGCTTCCCGTGAACAAGACAGGAAACCAATGTGGTTCTTCTGATGAGAGCTTCCGTTCCGCACAATTAGTACATCAACAAATACAAGCAGCTTCATTGGGATACTAAGCTTCTGAGTACCTTTCCGGAGCTGCTTATAAATGCTTCTGGTTAAAGAAAGGGAAACGATAATACTGCACCCACAAGAAGAGAATCAGGAACCGTTGAGGAGTTGTAAATATTTTGCCCAAGTGATCTGTTGGTGATTGTCTTGCAGTGCTGGTACTTTGTGTAGTGTTCTGAGAAGAAACATAACAGATGGTAACTGAATTCTTGGAGATCCTTGCTGTTAATTTGCAGACTTTTTACACTGACGAAAGATTAGTATCATAGTTGCAGTCTATGCTAGCTTGTGGCAAACCAAATTCGACAGCTCTAACATTTACCTAAAGCTTTGCAAGCACTGGAAGCAACCACACCAATCTCTCCAATTCAAAATTCTGTCAAAAAGCGCTTATTACAGGAAACACAAGGGTTCCTCAAACTGGTGAGAACATTCATAGGTTCTAGCTGAGAAGTTATCATCAAAATTCAGCAAGGACCAGACCTGTACCTTGAAGACCGGCTTCTTGCTCTCCTCCCTTGCCGGATTCTTGTCCTCCTCATCGTCCGACTTCTTGCCCTCGTCCACCACCAGATTCTTGTCCTCCTCCTCTGCCGACTTCTGTGAAATGATGTTTCATATATGGTACTCTGAAGTTAAAATGAGATATGAGTTTGTTAGTGCACTCATTTCACCACTGAATTTGCAGTACATATTTAGTAACTTGTTCATGGAAAGGTGTGTTCTTTGATTGTTTGTTAGTGCACTCATTTCACCACTGAATTCACAGTACATATTTAGCAACTTGTTCATGGAAAGGTGCATTCTTTGATTGTTTGTTAGTGCACTCATTTCACCACTGAATTCACAGTACATATTTAGTAACTTGTTCATGGAAAGGTGCAAAATATGTTACCCTGACAATGAACTTCCATATATTGTTTTGGAACAGTATGTTATCGTTGGTGAAAGATTATATTGGATTGAGAAAAAGAAGCTGCAACCCTTTGATCCTCCCTGAAAAACAAAAGTAGCCTGCAGTTGAAATCGTCTAATAACTACCCAGTATGAATCTTTCTTGCATCGAGCTTATAGTTTGAGTGAAAGAAGCTGCAACTCTTTGTCTCTCACTGAAAAATGAAACTAACATTGCAATTGAAATCCTCAAATAACTACCTAGTATGAATCTTTCCTGCATCCAGCCTATAGTTTGAACAGCATGAATGCAGTATTCAAACCATGGTGCCGATATGTGAATTACTAGCACAGTGGTACTAACACATGTTTATTTTTTGAACTGCGCAGAAAGCACTTGCAGGGTTGAGGAGAATTGATTTAGAAGGGTTACGGTGGCGTGTTTTTGATGCAAAGGGCCAGGTCAGAATTCTTCTGTTTGTTTCAGCTGTGAGGATTTGCCCAGGTCAAAATATTTTGTTATGCAGTAAGTTATTTTGTCTATATGATAGGTACTTGGAAGGTTGGCATCCCAAATAGCTGTTGTGCTTCAAGGCAAGGACAAGCCAACCTATGCACCTCATGTGGAAGCTGGAGACATGTGCATTGTTCTTAATGCAAAAGATATCTGTGTCACAGGAAGAAAAATGACTGACAAAATCTACTACTGGCATACAGGGTTAGTAATTCTAGCAAATACTTTTTTATACCTTATTTGGTTATCATTATTAAGTTTCTTCTGTCATCTGCATTTTGCCATTTCCCCAATAGGTATATTGGCCATCTGAAGGAAAGAAAGCTCAAGGACCAGATGGCAAAAGACCCAACTGAAGTGATCCGTAAAGCTGTCATGCGCATGCTTCCCCGCAACAAATTGCGTGATGTAAGTGAATTTCATATCTATTTGTTTATAAGGATTGCTCATAGGTTCATCTTTTTTCTGGTTCAAGATTATATGCTAGCTTTAATTGTTACCAGAATACTCTGCAAGTTGGATTTCTGTATGCATATTTGTGGTGAATCTTCTGCGTATTAACTTAGAATAACAGTTACCCTGTTATAGACTGCACTTCTATCATGCGCCATGAACTGGTGATAATGCTATTGTTCTTATTATATGCTGAGACATATAATATAAGCATAAGTCACGAGAGAAGTTCGTCCATATGCACTATGTTACTCGTGTCTTGTTTAAGTTTGCGTGGTAAATTTACAAAGTTAACCAATCTGTTCATGGTGCATGATCAGATTTTTTATTATTATTTCCGAAGTTGGTTTTGAAATTACCATTTAACATGCACTAGTTTTATGATGGTGTACTCAGTTAACACCCCCCTGCTTTGACTCTCCAGGATAGGGATCGCAAGCTGAGGATATTTGCTGAAGGCGAGCATCCATTTCACGACCGGCCTCTCGAGCCTTTCGTCATGCCGCCACGGCAAGTGCGTGAGATGCGCCCCCGGGCAAGACGTGCAATGATAAGGGCACAGAAGAAGGATCAGGACAGGGAAGCCAAGAAGGCCGAGGGGGAAGCAGCTAAGAACGGCAAAGCTGCGGTCGCTGCATAAGTCACCTTCAGATGTGTGTGGGCTATGGAGACCGATGGATGATTCGCGCCGCTATGGATCTACCTGATGCACTTTCTGAATGATGACCTGTGTGTCTCTTTTCTCTTTTGACATGTAGTCTTTCGTGTTGAATTTCGTAGACAGGGCGCACGACAATCTTATCAAGCTTTGTTAAGGCAGCAAGATAGATTGCTGAGATGCCTGTTCAGTTGAGTTGAGTTGAGAGGCACTAAACCTGGAAACGCTCAACTCCTCATTCTGAATTTCCTTTTCGATCCTAAACCTGTAACTGGAATTTTGTGTTGCAAATAAAACTCGATGCATTATGCAGAACAGTGTGGGTTCACATTCATATCTTGAGTGGTGCAGATGATTTATCAGGGCGAGCTATTTACTCAACTTTTTTGTCAAAATGTGTTACTAGTACTATGCATAGGATAAAAAAAATACAAAAATGCTACACCTACGAAGCCCTCTTTTGCTCTCTGCATCTTTGGTGAGGTTATAAAAAACACCATCTTTTGGGATGCAGAGTTTCTGAGCCCGAGGGTGAAAAGTAAAATCGATTTAAAAAAAAGCAGATTTTTTGTGACAAAAGTTTTAAGTGCTTGCAAAAATTCATCATGGAATCACATTCTTGTAAGGCGTGGCAAAGAAAAAAATCAATACTCTGAAAATGCTACTTTCAAAAGTAATTTTTTTTTGCCACGCCTCACAGGAATGTGATTTCATGATGAATTTTTGCAAGCACTTAAAACTTTTGTCAAAATTTGTCATTAAAAAAATACAGAATTTTTTGGATTGTTTCTGATTTTACTGTTCACCGATCTCACCTGAGCTCGGGAGCAGAAGGGCACTTTCGCATGTTTTGTACCCCCTCTGTTTCAAAATAGATGACCCAATTTTATACTAACTTTTTAGTACAAAATTGGGTCATCTATTTTGGAACTGAGAGAGTACTTGTCTGTTTGTTGTTAGATGCTAAAATAATATCGCATTTTAGGTCAAAAGAAAAACATTGTCGCATTTATTATTATAGTGTACAAATGTTGGACTGGCAGTGAGTGCATAAGACCAACTCCACCGCGCGACCCCAAACGGACGTCCGTTTTGCCCGGATTCTGTCCGTTTGGGTAGGGCAATGGGGGCGTGTCCGGGCAGTTTCCGGGATGCGATGGCCATGCGCTCAGTGCGCGGACGCATCCCGGCCGCATCCTTCCGCATACATTTTTCTTTGCAAGTCCTTAACTTTTTTTCATCATTCATTTTTGGTACATGGAAATACATCATTTGCCGGTGGGTGCGCAAACCAGGTGGCCGTGGTTGGGTAGCTCGGCGGTGCGGAAGGGAAGGGGTTGGGTGAGCGCGCGTCCGAGCTGCACGGCTGCAATGGCAGCGGTGATGACGGCGAGGGGAAGGGTGGGGAAGAGTGGAGAAGAGTGAAGGGGGATTTGACCGGAGGGAGGGAGAGGGACACAGCCGCAGGCGACGGCGATGGATCATGGATCTTTTTTCCTCTTCTTCTTCTTCCTTGCATGGCTCGGCCGAAGAAGCCGTTGGTTCGTGCAGCAGCTGCTGCTGCTGCTGCTGCTGAAAGAAACCACTTCGGACTTCTCGAAATGTTGGCTCGTTTTCTGTCGTTAGAGAGGGATTGAGATTGAGAGAGGTGTGCGTGCGTGTGAGACAAGCCTGAGACCGTGTGCATTGATTAGTGGTGGTGCCCTCCTCTCGCCAAAAAAAAGAAAGATTTTAGCGGTGGTGGTGGGGCCGGCGATGGGGAGTGGTGTCGGCGGGGGGATGGCACGGGGCCGGCTGAAAACGAGCGCTTGCGGGGCTGGTCGGCCTGTCGCCCCCACGCAACCAACACATCAAAACGCGCCACACATTTCGCACTTGTCCTTGCTAATGGCTAAGCAATAATCCTACTCGTACCGGCACCGCCACCACTCCCGCTCACATCCTACGCGTACACACGCTCCCTACACAACCAGCGCGAGGATGAGGATTTTTCTTTTCTCTCGACAAAACTTTCGATCTATTCATTTTCAGTCAATGACACTACAACCAACACCCGAAATTACCATCTAGATCCGTAGACCACCTAACGACAACTACAAGCATTAAGGCGAGCCCCTCCCTCGCCGAAGCTAAGGCCCCATAGGACAAGCACAGCAAAACAGTAACCGCCACTGAAGAGTAGGGGCCTGGGCGAGTGATTTGGCGCGAAACAGCTGAGTGATTCCCGCGGGCCCGCCGAGTTAGCGAGACGGCCGTTTCGTCGCCCTCATCGCCTCGGTTCCCGCGGGAATCAATGCCAGGGCTGCCGCGCCGGTCATCCTCCATTGATGCCTCACGGGCGGCGCAGTGAAGACGTCGCCGACGCGCGTCCCTTCCGCTCCCGCCACGCGTCCTCCCGCATGCCGCCTCCGCCCCTCCCCGGCCAGTGAGCGCCACAACCTCCCCTCTCCCTCCCGCAAAAGCCTTCTCCCCGCCGATGAGCATCGCCGAGAGATTCCTAGGCGACGACGCAGCGGCGAACGGCTTCTGCCGCCGACACCTCCAGGAGCCGGAGGCGCGCCTTCTGTACAAGACCGAGTACCCGGCGCCCCCTGACATGCGCATGCCGGGGGCGCGGAGACTGAGCGCCGCCGGCGTCCCGGTGCCGCCAGTACCCGAAGGGGCGACACGGTGGGCGGAGATCGCCCGCGTCCGCTCCTAGCTGACGGAGGAGCAGCGCAACGAGCCGAGGTACGCGCCCGACAGCAAAACGCTGTGGACGCTGTACTTCGAGCGCCACCGCGAGGAGCAGATCGCCTCCGTCAACGCCATCATCCCCCACGGCCCCCTCAACTCCGAAGGACGGCGCGAGTGGTGGGGCGTCCCCGGCCGCACACTTGACGCCGTCCTCGACCACATCGAGACCGGCAATGTGCCGCGGCTGGAGTACCCGATGCGGGCCTCCTTCTCTCACCGCCGCGGCAGTTCCTGGATGCCACGGCAAATGGAGCTGGGGTCGTCCTCGTCGTCGGGATCCGGCTCGCCGCCCCTCCGTCCCGTCAAGCCCGAGTCGGAGGGGACACCGTTCGGGCGTCGCGCTCGCAGCGGCGCCCTCGTCATCAACGAGTCCTCACCTGCGACGGCACCAACGAGGCGCTCCCTGCGCCTGGTCTGGCCGAAGCCCGAGCCGAGGTTGCTCCCCGTGAAGCACGCTGGCATGGTGGCCCCCGACGACGAGTACGCCCTCAAATGGGCGAAGGAGGACTACGTCCACGAGCAAGTACGCCGCCCGCGCTAGGCGTACCTGGGGACCCAGGCCCGTAGCCGCACCGAGGAGGGCGGCGTTATCATCATCGACAACGACGACGAGGTCGAGGCCGGGCCGTCAAGCGCCCACCACGTGTCGGCGACCCCGGCCAGGGCTGCAGAAGGGACGCCGCAGGCGAGGCGCGCGACGACGGCGGCGGCGACGACTACACCCACTTCTACAGGCTTCTCGGCATGTAGACGACGGCGGCGGCGACGACTACACCCGCTTCTACAGGCTTC